ATATAGATATATATATCTATATATCTATATATCTATATATCTATATATAAAAAAACTAGATTTATAAAGTTTAAATGATTGCATTTCTGGTGACATTGCATATGAGTATAATCAGTCATTTCAATATCAAACTACAACTGTGAGTGTAAAATGTGTACTAAGGGGCCTGGTAACTGAAATATTTAACAAAAAAAAGAAACAAATGTAACTAATTTAAAGATTAAAATGTAACAAATCATTAATTTTAATGATTAATAACATTAAAGGAACCATAAAGGGCTAATAACGGTTCATTTCTGAATGCCTTCATTTATTTGCCATTTTTTTTGTAAAATTAGGGAAGAAAAACCCAATTGCTAAAATCTCATATAAGCATAAACATGTTAATGTCATTCCAAAAGTCATGATCAATATCTTTAAATCCTTCATTAAAATATCCCCTGGTGATCCTGTCATGGAGGACCATGTCCAGGCACTTCCTGTTATAGGATGACAACGCTCTCTCCCTGTGTTCTAATGGTGGTCCTGCACTGTCACTGATGTCACATGAAGAAGACTGCTATTGGCTGTTTCAATGCACAGGGATAGTCACTGCTGTCATCTTCAGGAAACCCGGCCAGAGAAATGTCATGCAACCATCGCTGGAGTGCGTGTAGACAGAAAGTGGCTGCAAAGAAGATTCCTGAGTGCAAAAAGGTCCCCTGATATCTCCATAGACAGTATCTGTCACTCAAAAAGTGCTATCATATAGGGGGATCATCAACCCTCTTTTGAAATCAATAAAGTGGAAAAAAATGTAAATGAAATATGTAAATTTCTATACATTTTATATGTAATAAAATAATGTTAAAACACATTCTTTTTAAAGCCCCCCTCCTCCATTACACAAGCACATATGCATGCTGATGAATGCCTTATGTGATAGCACTTTTTGAGTGACAGGTACTCTTTATGGAGGCAAAGGGGAAACCCTGATCGAGGTTTACAGCGTCCTCTGTTGCTGCTTCACTTCACTTGGCAATGACATTATATGATGAATCTCTCTCTCTCTATATATATACTGTATACTGTATATATATATATATATATATATATGAAATAGATGTTAAAATGTTTACCATAATTCTTATGTTTACCTTAATTGTTGATGCCGTGTATGTGGCTGTGAGGTCCAGGGAGGCGTTATGCCTAAAATCAATTTTAAGTTATGTTGGGTTGTTGTGGATACAATATTGATGGGCTGATACAATAGTTTTATCTTTATATATTTATTTATGTGTGTAATTAAAATATATTTATTTAAAGACATATGTGCAATATGTGTTCTTCATGCTTAGAGTGACACCTTAAAAGCCCCACATTCTCTATTTTTCTAGCTTTTTGTTACAATTATATTCAGGGGTGTGGTGTCCTGTTCCTTTTGGTGGCTCGGAACCTTTTTTTCTATTTCTTTCATTATAAAATAATGTTAAAATACATTCTTTTTAAAG